AAAACATATAAAATCGTATTATAACATCGACAAAGACAAATAATAAAATAAAACATTAAAATCGAGATGTGTCTCGCTGCATTGTACGAATACTCTTCTAGTATTTCTTAAACATATAAACGATTAAAACCATCCTTGCAAAAAGGAAAAAAAAAAAAGATTTTTTCAATTTTTTTTTTTTTGCAAAATAAGTGTTATTTTTGCACTTACTGAATGCAAAATGATTAAAAAAATACAAAACTCCATTGAGAAAACAATAACAAATTCAATAAAGTACAACATAAATTTGGATACTGGGTTCCTTTTTTGGTTTGCAAAAATTGAATGAATTTGGATTTCAAATTCGCTTTAATTTAATGTTTGGTTTGTTGCATTGTCCAGATTTAAAATTCTATGATTTAATTCAAATCATATAAACATAAGATTTTAAAATTCTCAAGAGATGTTTGAGATTTCGTAGGATTGTATGAAATAAGGTTTTAAAAAATGTTAAAAATATTTTATTTTTATAATAATCGATTAATAAAAATGTAATTTAAAAAAATGTTTCTTATTTTTTTCCTTTCACTATCTTTTCGAGTCTGTATGTGATTTTTTTTTTGGAAAATAAAAAATATGAGCTATTATTGATTTGAAAGTAAGAGTGATGAGGTAGTTTAGGAAGAAAGCAGAATTGGAGCATATTTTTACAATTTAATCGACATTGAGTGTCGTTTTTAGTCCTTATGTTTTGTTGAAAATATCTATTTTTGTTCTTATGATTTAAAATTTATTGTTTTTTTTTCATCTATGTGATTTAAAATTCATTTCTATTTTATTCTTTCATGCTTAATAGTAGTGTTTTAGCCTCAGAGAGGAAAATAGAAATAAATTACAAATTATAGGAACGGAAATCAAAATTTTAAAACTACAGTGTAATTTTTATAAAACCATAGAGAACAAAAACATAATTTACTCTATTTTTCAAGTTTATTACAAGAATGTTGTATAGATGGAAAAAATAGCATACTTTTATGAAAGCCCTGTCAATAATTTGAAATGGTGCTAGTGGCAATGGTAATCACCGTATGTTTAGTTGCACTTGTCAAAAGTTTGAGGCTGTTTGACAGTCGCTGAATGGTTTGATGCAAAATGATTAAGTGGTCAGAATGATTAAGAGACTCTCATGATATAGTACAAAATGAAATATAGTTATTTGGTAATTATTTACAACGAAATTAGGCATTGAATGGTTAAAGGAGGTCCATGATAAAAAAAAAATCATTCAGATAGTTTTAGAACCATTAAGAGGCATATTTTTTTTTTTGTCAAACAACTTCACCTCTTAACAATTCAGAGGTTGTCTTTTGATGAAACTATTAAGAGATAAACAAACAACCCTTAGGCTAGTTGTTGATTTATACTCTCAATTTCATACATATAAATTACAAAATTTTAAATTTCTCATTATTTTTTATTTTAATATTCATTTTATTCTAATATAGTTTAGAAATTGAGGTTCATTGATAAAAAAAAGAACATACATTGTTCCAATTTCTATTTTGAGTAGCGTATTCTCAAAACACGTGTTTAAGGGTCTATAACATAACTCTACAATTAAAAAAAGGGATCTATTAACTGGTACAACCCGTAACAAGTAATAAATATATAAAATAAACAAATGATCCAACTTGTATTCATATATGCACAGATAATTTATGTGTGAATCACACGTGTTCAATATCTATAGATAGTTTATACGTGAATCACACGGATTCACATATCCACAGATAGTTTATATGTGAATGGGTTCACATATGCATTTATTTGTCGCTTATTTGTAAAAGTTACGAACTATTCTTCTATCTTCCTCATACCATACGACCGAATTATCACGTGCTTCACATTCAAAGTCGCAAATGTTGACCATATAAAGTGTTAGTATCACTTCTCTATTTCTCACACATTTAGCACTT